GGCCAACCTGTTTGATTACCGAGTAGAAAAGAGGGGCCGTTCTTCCAGAGCGTTGAGTTAAGAAGCTGCTTCGGTGATGCTCCTCGCGACAAGACGTCAGCTGGATTCATAGCGATCGGGACATGAAGCCAAACCATTCCGTGACTTAGTGTTTGTATACGGCTTACCCTGTTTGAAACAAATATGTTAAAGTTCGAAGATTCTTCTCGTAGCCACGATAAAACTACGGTTGAATCCGACCAACAATGGATGGCACAGTTAAATTCTTGTGCCTGCTTGACCGCTTCTAATAACTCTGCTAATAACAATGCCGCGCACAACTGAAGCTTCGGCACAGAGAGTCTTAAGTGGCGCTACTCGAGATTTTGCGCACAACAAGTGAGTCTTAACTACGTCATTATGCTGGGCTCGTGCATACACGCATGCACCATAAGCGGCTAAACTAGCATAGCAAAATCCATGGAGCTCTAAATAAGAATTTGGAATTAATACAAATCGCGGAAACTGGAAGTTAGATACCAATTCCAGTTCAGCACAGAATTGAGTCCAAACTGTATGTAAGTGCTGTGGTAAACTTTCATCCCAATGTATATGTTGTTTCCACATGGTTTGAATGAAGATTTTTGCCTGAGTTATAACTGGAGCGATGAGTCCTAATGGATCGTAAAATCCAGAAATTATGGACAATGCGATACGCTTAGTTACGTGATTGTTATTTCTCAGGCGAGCGAGTGCGAACGAAAATATGAAGTTGTCTGTTTTAGGATCCCAGACTAAGCCAAGAGTTTTTGTAACATGCGTACCATCGTGAAACTGCAAAAGTGGCTCACAATCAGAATCAGGTACTGCGACGAGAGCTTCAGGAGCATCAGAGCACCATTTTCGAAGTAGAAAATTACCTCTCCGCAGCAACTGTGCTGTCTGACGCTGAATTTCCACGACTTCTTCCACGGAGTCTACACCAGTGATGAGGTCGTCGACATAAAAGTTTCTACGCCCGATAAGCAAGCCAAGAGGAAAATCTGCTTCTTCATCTATTGCCAATTGATGCATGGGTCGAGTCGCTAGAAATGCAGCAGGCCTGGTACCATACGTGACTGTGTCTAGCGTGTATACCTTTAGATCTCCTTCAGGGTCATCCCGCCACAAAATACATTGTAAGTACTTGTCAGGCTCCAAAACTCGTACGCAGCGATACATCTTACAGATGTCACCCGTCAAAGGCGAAAACCCAAAAGTGTAAAGAAGAGCTTTGGCTGAATCGTTGGACCAACCATAAGCACGTCATTTAAAGAATAACCAGATGTTGATTTTGCGGAGCCATCCAACACAACTCTCAACTTTGTTGTTGTGCTATCCGTCTTGTGGATACAATGATGGGGCAGGAAGAATGCACGAGTTGTTGGCTCCAAGTTCGCAGGAGACATGTGCTTGAGTTCGGCGTATTCCTTCATGAAGGACGAATACTGTTTTTTAACGTCTTGTTTGTGCTGCAGCCCTCGTTCCAAACTCATGAAGCGCTGTTTGGCTAGTAAGTATGAATCACCAAGAGCTTGGACGTTTTGCTTTAATGGAAGCCGCACAGCATATTCCCCAGAATCGAGTCGAATATGATTTTGTTGGAAATGAAGCTCGCAATCAATTTCCTCTTGCATTTGTGTGGGTGGAGCTGAACAGGCTTCAACTTCCCAAAACTGCTTAATGAGATCAGTTAAACCTGATTCTTCTTCGTCTAAGTCTGAGCGAACTGCAACCAAGGAGGATGACTTATGGAAGTGAAGTCCTCCACCAGAAGCGACCCATCCTAATCTTGTTTTTTGTAGTATAGGTAAGTTATTGGCCAACCTAATTTGGCCGATATAAGTTAACATACCGCAGTAGGCAGCCACAATAATAAAGCAAAATAACATAATGCAGTAGGCAACACAACAACTGAACAAAATCCGTAAGCGCAGCGCAAACAACTACATCAGTAAAAATAAAAAGCGCAGCTGCAGCTTAGGTAACGGAGCCATAACAACGGAAGCGCTTGCCAGCAACAACGAACACCTGCAGTCCAAAATCGTGGGAATCGCAGATTCAGCAAAGAAGAGTCACACGGCAGTCCACGTGAGGTGTTGACAGTTAGGGAGTTAGGAATTCAGGTGCAGGCACCGCTAAAATCAGTTGTATTGACTCGCTCGGCATTATCGGCTGCCCATTAGATCAAAAAATAACGATGCTCCCAACAAGACGTCAATACGTTGTGACTTGAAAAAGAGTGGGTCTGCAAGCTTAATATTATTCGGAATGTTCCATGAATCTGTGTTGAGATCGAAATTGGGCTGAGGATCGGTGATAGTGTTGGTGACGATGGCTTCAAACGAGAGAACGTAATCATCGCTGTGTGATTTTGTGATGATATCAACAGCCCTTTCGGCTATGAAATTAGATTCCCCAACCCCAGAAATGAATGTGCTTACCTTTTTTGTCTCCAGACGCAGTTTTTTTGTAAGGCGCCCGGTAACAAAGTTGACCTGAGAACCTGAGTCTAGAAGTGCTCGACATGGGATGAAACAACCCGTGCGGTTTTTTACGAGGATGATTGCTGTTGCCAGTAGTACGAAATTTTCAGAAGACGCAGCAGTAGCTACTTGTTGTGTTCTTGTCGACAGTGATTGAGTGCTGGCCACATCTGTGTTGTTGCGATGGCTTCCTGATGCGGACTGCTCAGGCACAGGCATGTGGAGCAGCGAATGGTGCTTCGAAAAGCACTGCCGACAATGACCTGACTTACACTTGTTTAACGTGTGCCCCTGACGTAGGCAATTCAGGCACAATTGTAGACGTTTTGCTTCCTTGTACCGTGAAGCAGGTGATAAATTTCCGAATTGGGTCCAGTTGTATACCAAATGCCCAACAGAGCCACAAAATAAGCATGAGCTTGACGAAACTACGAGTGAATGGCGCGAGTTGCTGTTACCGGTGGGTACACGTTTACCTGTCGAGGAAGAGGATTTTTCTGTCGGTACCTGAGTTTCTACATTCTCCAGCGTGCGGCACCTTCCTCCCATTTTATCCGCGTTTTAGTGTCAAGCTTATTCGAAATGAGGTGTATTAGGAGCCCATCGAGGAGCTGCTCCCCCGTTGCCATTGTATGAAGAGAGCGCAGGTGTACATTTACCTTGTCGCTGATCGACCGAAGACTTGTAGCGGAGCCAATCTCTACAGCCTTTAGCGCGAAGATTTCTTTAATATGTGATTGGAAATTAAGCATTTTATTGCCGAAGCGGTTCTTGAGAAGATCCAGTGCTTTATCGTAATTTGTCTCGCTTGGCTCCAAGTATCAAGCGTAGCAAGTTCGCACGTAAGTGTTGGAACTTTTCTATTTTGCTTAATTCAGTGCAGCTGTTGATCACAGAGTTGAATATCGCGATGAAATCTGGCCAATCAGTGTAAGCACCATCAAAACGAGGAATTTTAAACTCGGGAAGCCTGTTGTGTTGTGAGATGATAAGAGAAGGAGATGCATCATCGAGTGCGAATGGCCGTGCTGTTGATGAGTGGTAATTGCAGGCTTTACGCTGATTGAGCTCACGTGTTAACTTCCCCTTGACGTCCATGTGCACCTTTGCGAACGCCCAGCTAACTTCATTTGCCAGTACATTGGGTTCTTCGGCCTCAAGACTGTACTGAGCGCCATCAAAGCTGATTTGAAGGCGCTCAACCCACTCCAAATGCATCGATATATCTACCTCGTCTAGGTTTTTAGCGAGTCTGCTGATAACTGCTGGTTGATGTCCTTTAGTTGCTTCAAAAGGGAAACGGTCCTCTTTTTGTTGAGCGATTCCGGCCCAACTTGGCTATCCTCAGAAGCTGCATCTTCAGAAGGCATGTTGAATTGATTATTCAAATTAAATAAAGTTGAATGGATGAAATTCAATATTATTCGACGAGTTGAACGTGAATTATCACGTCGAGGTCACCAATGATTTGAGATGACAAGCCTTTTTGCCACCTTGCAGAAACTAAGCGAAGAGCAAATATATACCTTGACTTCAATATGAACAGTAAACTTTATTTCTAAAAACAGTAATTCATTTGTCTCTTAAACCTACTTACATTTGTCATACATATATGGGTCAATTTAAAAAAAAAACGCAATTTTTGTGTCCCTGCACTTTACACTACTATTTTAGGTAAAAAAAAAAATATCAAAAAAAAAACAAAAATGTGAGAGTGATCATCGAGGAATATGTAACAAAAAAAACGTAATTCTCAAATTTGTATGTTTGTTTTTTTGTTTGTTTAGAATGGTGTTTTGTTTCTCCCTCTGACTCCTTTCATACAAAAGCATGTGTCCCCCGTTAGAATTTTTAGTAAACAAAATAAAATAAAATCAAGAAAAAAAAGTAAATATGTAACATTTAATAACTGTTTTCGAATTATTGGGTTTCTTTCTTTTGTTTTGATTTGTTATAGTTGTCAAAAATTAATTAGTGCGAATTTGGCGTTGCGAAGAAAGGTTGTCCCCACAATTTGTATTGAGCGTCACTTTTTTTATAAATCAAGTAATATTACCAGTTTTGAGTTTGCATTTAAATAAAGTAAACTACGTAAGGAAAGTACAAACTTTAAATATTAAAAAAGTGAAAAAGCGAAAAAAAAATCTATTAAAAAAAGTGTGCATTTGCGTAGTTTTTGTGAACACCATGGTAAGGGCGCGATAAAATGTCATGAGCGTCACGCTAATTTTTTTAAAAGTGAATATATTAAATGTAAAAAATTTAAGTTGACAATCATTGTTTACATGGTTTCAACTAATTTTTTTATAATTTGTGAATTTGGGAAATAAATTGCCTACGGAAAAAAAACCAAAATAGGCAAAAATTTCATGAGCGTCACTTTTGATACATATTGCTTCATAGCTTAAAATGCTTAATTTTGATTTTATTTTTTAATTTTCAAGAGTAAAACAACAAAA